AGTCGCTCGAAAGAGAACATGTCCCAAGAATACCAATGGAGCTGCCCTCCAGCTACCAGGGAATTCCATACCCCCTGGTATGTCTGCAACCTGTGTCCTGGATGAAGGTTATTAGGAAGCACAATCCCTTGGCCCCCAGCAGATGAAGCTTAGATCAGAGAAGCCATAATTGGGGAGGGGTATGTTGGGGGGGGTATGTAATACTTCTTGTGTCCCCTCTTTGCCCTTCAAATCCTAGATCCTAAATTACTAAATTAAACCCGCTTGTGGAGATCTACTGTAAGTTGATAAGTGAACGACAGGCAGCGGTGTCGGCGAGGAGCTCATTATAAATCTTCATTTGTTACTTTAGGGACGCTCCCATTCAGTCATTAGCATGTTGTGCCGTCACATATTAATTAACGAGGGGGGGGGGGGGGGGGCTCGTGCCTTATTTCTTTTCACATTCCGATAAGACAGGAAATTGTCCGTAAGCTCCCGTTACTTGCAGCTAATTTGCTGGAGACAACAAGGAAGCTCATTAGGTTTACAATCTCATCACGCAGGCATTAGCAATATTGTAACGGAGTGTTACGTGTGATTAATCGGTCGGCCCTTTTCCAGGGACCAAAATAAAAAAAAAAATCCGAGAGAGACATTTATCATAGTCCTTCAGCTGCAAAATCTCGCAGACGTGTCAAAAAACATCAATTTGCCATTCGCCAGATCGAGGAGAAGAAAGGATTGAGAGAGAAAAAAAAAACAAATTGGTTGAAGCATAACCAAATGGCTGCAAGGGACGTGGCGTGAAGAGGGTGGAAGCAGACTGACAACTCACGGGGCCCCCGGGCAATAGGGGATCATGGGGCCCCTGTGTTCTTGCCCACACTCAAAGCACACCCAAAAAAGCCTATAAAAGGTACCAGGGGCATTTCATGGGGCCCCCTACTGACCCCTGGCCCTCGCGCAGTGCCCGAGTGCTCTAATGGTCAGTGCGCCCATGATCCAGAGGAAGCAAAAAAACCCAGCAAAGCACGATCCAATTTGCTCCTGCTGGGGAAAAAATTCCTTCCTGATCCCCCGAGAGGCAATCAGATATTCCCTGGATCAACTTTCCCTATAAATGTTACATCCAGTTATATTCTGTGTATCCAAGAAAGAATCCAGGACTTTCCTACAGCAATCCACTGAGCTGGCCACAACCAACTCTGGAGGGAGTCTATTCCACATTCTCACAGCTCTTACTGTGAAGAACCCTTTCCGTGTTTGGAGATTAAATCTCTTTTCCTCCAGATGTAAAGAGCGCCCCCCAGGGCAAGATCACCAAGCAACCTTTTGCAGATTGTAAGAGCTTGGCTAAAAAACGGAAATGTAAAACTGCGTGCGCAAACATATATTTAATTTTTGTTTTTTTTGAGCACTAGCCCCCGATGATGTTCAGAGACTTTCTCTGAAATTCATAATTTCCAGCAACCCGTGAAGGTAAAGGATGCTTTATGTCAAGATCCAGCCAAATTATCCACAGTCTTCCTCAAGGCGGATGGAAATGACTTCACGCCGAGGCGCACAGCTCTTAGGTCTCAGCTACTGGCCGGGGCCTCTGCAGCTTATTAAAAGCCCATCACATTCCTTAATGCGAAGACACCCGGTCCCAACAGATGTGTCCTATCATTAGATGTGCCTGTAATATGCTCTAAGCCCCGGCTTGCTGTATTAATGCTTTGTTTGTCTTTTAGCACAGATGGATATTTTTTTATGAGCCCAGCTACCCCCCTGGGGGTCAGTCCTGGGGCAGCTGTCTTACCAGTGGCGCGATATTTCCCCTCCGGTGCTGAGTGACACCATATCATAGAAATATCTTTATTGTGTTGTGGAAAGCGCGGCATTATACGCGGGGCCAGGGGCGCCGCCGGATTTATTTTCAATCGGTCTTTGGATTCTGATAGGGAAACCAGACTGGTGAAAAGAACGGCGAGAGCCCAGCCAGTGGCTATAAAGTCCCTTTATACAGATATTTATTATATAAGCCCCCAAGAGACCCCAGGGATCTGTTGTTTAGAATGATAGGGGGATCAATATAAAAAAAAATATTCTCATTATATTTACATATAGTAACTTGGTGCTGCGCTAATAACTAATCCTTTGAAATGTATTTATTTATTTCAGGTACTTATATAGCGCCATCAATTTACGCAGCACTTTACATATACAGTATATTGTACATTCACATCAGTTCCTAACCCTCAAGGGGCGTACAATCTAAGGTCCCTGACCCTCAAGGGCCATACAATCTAAGGTCCCTATCCCTCAAGGGGCGTACAATCTAAGGTCCCTGACCCTCAAGGGGCGTACAATCTAAGGTCCCTAACCCTCAAGAGGGGTACAATCTAAGGTCCCCGACCCTCAAGGGGCGTACAATCTAAGGTCCCTGACCCTCAAGGGGCATACAATCTAAGGTCCCCAACCCTCAAGGGGGGTACAATCTAAGGTCCCTAACCCTCAAGGGGCGTACAATCTAAGGTCCCTGACCCTCAAGGGGCGTACAATCTAAGGTCCCTAACCCTCAAGGGACGTACAATCTAAGGTCCCTAACCCTCAAGGGGCGTACAATCTAAGGTCCTTAACCCTCAAGGGGCATACAATCTAAGGTCCCTAACCCTCAAGGGGTGTACAATCTAAGGTCCCTAACTTACATTCATACATACACATACTAGGGACAATTTAGACAGGAGCCAATTCACCTACCAGCATGTCTTTGGAGTGTGGGAGGAAACCGGAGTACCCGGAGGAAACCCACGCAGGCACAGGGAGAACATGCAAACTCCAGGCAGGTGGTGCCATGGTTGGGATTCAAACCAACAACCCGAGTGCTGCCAGTCGGAAGTGCTAACCATTCTATTCTTTTATTTTCTATTCAATTCATGCAGCACTTTACATATATATTATTATTATACAGTATTTATATAGCGCTAAAAGGTTTGCTCAGCTCTGTACATTATAGTGGGGGACAGAACATGAGACAATACAGTAACAAAACAATATACAAGGGGGTCAAGGGCCCTGCTCTTTCGAGCTTACAATCTAGGAGTATATTGTACATTCACATCAGTCCCTGCCCCTGAGGAGCGTACAATCTAAGGTCCCTAACCCTCAAGGGGCGTACAATCTAAGGTCCCTAACCCTCAAGGGGCGTACAATCTAAGGTCCCTAACCCTCAAGGGGCGTACAATCTAAGGTCCCTAACCCTCAAGGGGCGTACAATCTAAGGTCCCTAACCCTCAAGGGGCGTACAATCTAAGGTCCCTAACCCTCAAGGGGCGTACAATCTAAGGTTCCTAACTCACATTCATACATACACATACTAGGGACAATTTAGAGAGGAGTTAATTCACCTACCAGCATGTCTTTGTAGTGTGGGAGGAAACCCAAGCAGGCACAGGGAGAACATGCAAACTCCAGGCAGGTGGTGCTGCGGTTGGGATTTGAACCAACGACCCTAGTGCTGCCAGGTGGAAGTGCTAACCACTTGGCCACTGCGCTGCCCATAGACTAAAATGAACCTTCTGGATGTAGTGGCCGTCCTGCAACCAGAATCCTAACAACAACATGACGGATCTCGTTCCACACCTCAGATACCTAACCAATTTAGCTGTGAGCCATCCGGCAGCATTGGGAGAAGAGAGGACGACACGTATCGATTGGGGGAAGAGAGGACGACACGTATCGATTGGGGGAAGAGAGGACGACACGTATCGATTGGGGGAAGAGAGGACGACACGTATCGGCCATTTCAGTGGCTTTAAAAGTACGTCAATAAGATAAATAACGGTTATGACCCAACAACCTTAACGAGTGACACAACTAAGGTCAGAGGTCACCCAAAATAATCGCCCTTTCTCCTCTTTACATAATGACTTGTGTAATGAGTATCAAGAAACGGTAATTAGTACACAGCAGGGGTGGACTGACCATTCAGGTACTTGGGCACTGCCCGAGGGCCCGGGGTCAGTAGGGAGCCCCATAAGATGTCCCTGGTACCTTTTATAGGCTTTTTTGTGTGTGGTTTGAGTGTGGGAGAGGACACAGGGGCCCCATGATCCTCTATTGCCCGGGGGCCCCATGAGTTGTCAGTCCGCCCCTGGTGCACAGCACATCCACATCTGAAGTGACAGGCGTCGTACCTTTTGTTTATTTTTATTATTGTATTTATTATTTATCTGGATGAAGGAAACATTGTGCAAATAATTCGCTATAATGATTTACAATGAAATTAAAAAACGACACAAAAATCCAAATAGTAATTGTTCCTAGAATCACATTTGATACATCGGGGGGGGGGGGATTTACCAAAACTAGAGCACTCAGAATCTGGAGCAGCTCTGCATGGGAGCCAATCAGCTTCTAACTTCAGCTCGTTCAATTAAAGTGTTACTAAACCCACAACAGTACAATCAGCCTGTAGATGCAGTAAAGCATGCTTGTTATACTCACTGTGGAACCTAAGGGGTTAATCCTCCGCGTTGTTTAAGAAGGCTGTTTGATCCTGTCTTCTCTGATCCTCCTCTCATTCAAATGTCCAGGCTAAGACAGACTGAGAAAAAATGAGGAAGGGTTGTAACAGCGCAAACACTGCAAAGTCCTGGGAAATGGTAGTATGGGGTGATGGTGGTATTAGTGGCTACTGTATGAAGAGCGTAGGATTCCGTGTGGCACTGAGGGCAAGGCTTCCAAATAAGCTGTAGCAACTTCTGTAGATGAGAAAAAGGAGAGAAGCGCCTCTAAGTGCAATAAGTCTTTTTATTCCAGTCTAAATGTGGAAACACTCACATGTGTGAAGTAATCATAAGCATAAAAACCGTGGTTACCAATAGTTAACGGTGGGGTGGTGACCCGGGTGAAGAGCCGTCATCTCTCTCTGCGATGTGGGGAGGTCAGCTCTCGGCTGGAACAGCGTGGTGGCTGGAGGGGAACAGCGGTGAGGCCGGCCGGCGTGCACGTCCTCCCTCAGAGCCGGATGGAACGCACGCTGGAACGTAGCAGCGGCGTGGCCGTGATGACTTCAGATCCCCACTTGGAGACCCCTGTGCTAGATGATGCCGGGTGTCTTCCAGCCAGGAAATGAGGTGGGATCTATCTGACTTGCTGCAGCTTCTAACGCACATGGTGAGAAACTCACAGTGTGCAGTGAAATCAGAGGAAGCCATTTCAGTCCAAGAGAGGAGCCGATACACCTGTGCAAGACTGAAGGGGAGGAGCCGGTACACCTGTGCAAGACTGAAGGGGAGGAGCCGGTACACCTGTGCAAGACTGAAGGGGAGGGGCCGGTACACCTGTGTAAGACTGAAGGGGAGGAGCCGGTACACCTGTGCAAGACTGAAGGGGAGGAGCCGGTACACCTGTGCAAGACTGAAGGGGAGGAGCTGATACACCTGTGCAAGACTGAAGGGGAGGGGCCGGTACACCTGTGTAAGACTGAAGGGGAGGAGCCGGTACACCTGTGCAAGACTGAAGGGGAGGAGCCGGTACACCTGTGCAAGACTGAAGGGGAGGAGCCGGTACACCTGTGCAAGACTGAAGGGGAGGAGCTGGTACACCTGTGCAAGACTGAAGGGGAGGATCCAGTACACCTGTGCAAGACTGAAGGGGAGGAGCCGGTACACCTGTGCAAGACTGAAGGGGAGGAGCCGGTACACCTATGCAAGACTGAAGGGGAGGAGCCGGTACACCTGTGCAAGACTGAAGAGGAGGATCCGGTACACCTGTGCAAGACTGAAGGGGAGGAGACGGTACACCTGTGCAAGACTGAAAGGGAGGAGCCAGTACACCTGTGCAAGACTGAAGGGGAGGCAGGAGTTCTTCCTTAAATGCAGCATTACAGTTTTGTTCTGAAGTCTTCAGTCGACCCCATTGGCAGCCGATCAGCGAAATCTTTCCAGCATCTGGGTGGCATCACTTATCTGCCATCTTCACAGCCGCGCTCTTGATGTCTTTTCGAATAAACTTGTGATTGGCTGCCAGCAGAAGAAGCCGGAAGATAAACAGTCCTGTGCTGCGGGTCCTGCGAGCCGCCTTGTATAACAGAGCAGCCAGTGTCAGTGGCATAGTCAGCTCTCTGTTCAGCTGGCTGGTGCCAGAATGTGCCCCATAAAACCCTCCGAAAGCCCCGCGCTGTGAGAAGGCTCTCTAACCTCACAGAAAGGCGTCCTGTGAGTACAAACAGAGCCCGCGCCTCTCCCCGCTCTGCCAATGGAAACCTCTCAATAAACACTGTGAGACTGATAGGGGGAAGGCGTGCGGACCACAGCCGGGGGGGGGGGGGGGGGGGGGGGGGTACAAATCACCTTTCCTTACAGCTTCCAGGACGTTTTGGGAAAAAAAATGAAAGGATTTGACAAATGTCATTGGAGAGTCCTTCAAAATTGTTGGTTTGGTTTGGCAAAAATGAACAGATACTGATTAGGATATAAATGTTTGACACTTATCTCGGCTTCACAAATCACCAGTTTTATGTATTTATTTCAGGTACTTATATAGCGCCGTCGATTTACATATATATTCCCAAAAGTATTGTTCCACCGGCCTTTCCACACACATGACCTTTAATGGCCCCCCAGTCTTAGTCCGTAGGGTTCAATATTGAGTTGGCCCCGCCCTTTCCCCACACATGACCTTTAATGGCCCCCCAGTCTTGGTCCATAGGGTTCAATATTGAGTTGGCCCCGCCCTTTGCAGCTATAACAGCTTCAACTCTTCTGGGAAGGCCGTCCACAAGGTTTAGGAGGGTGTCTATGGGAAGGTTGGACCATTCTTCAAGAAGCACATTTGTCAGGTCAGGCACTGATGTCGGGGGAGGAGGCCTGGCTCTCAGTCTCCGCTCTAATTCATCCCAAAGGTGTTCTATGGGGTTAAGGTCAGGACTCTGTGCAGGCCAGTCAAGTTCCTCCACCCCAAACTGGCTCCTCCATGTCTTTATGGACCTTGCTTTGTGCAGTGGTGGGCAGTCATGTTGGAACAGGAAGGGGCCATCCCCAAACTCTTCCCACAAAGTTGGGAGCATGAAATTGTCCAAAAGGTCTTGGTTTGCTGACGCCTTAAGAGTTCCCTTCACTGGAACTAGGGGCCAAACCCAGCCCCTGAAAAATAACCCCACACCATAATCCCCCCTCCACCGAACTTTACACTTGGCACAGTGCAGTCAGGCAAGTACCGTTCTCCTGGCAACCGCCAAACCCAGATCAGATTGCCAGACAAGGAAGCATGATTGGTCACTCCAGAGAACATGTCTCCACTGCTCTAGACTTCAGTGGCGGCGTGCTTTACACCACGGCATCCGACGCTTTACATTGCACTTGGTGATGGAAGGCTTGGATGCAGCTGCTCGGCCATGGAAACCCATTCCATGGAGCTCTCTACACACTGTTGTTGGGCTCATCTGAAGGCCACACCAAGTTTGGAGGTCTGTAGCTATTGACTCTGCAGTTGGTGACTTCTGCGCACTTCAGCATGCGCTGACCCCGCCCTGTCATGTGACGTGGCCTACCACTTGGTGGCTGAGTTGCTGTTGTTCCCTGTTGCTTCCACTTTGTTATAATCCCACTAACAGCTGAGCGTGGAATATTTAGTAGCCAGGAAATGTCATGGACTTATTGCACAGGTGGCCACCTATCACGGGACCACGCTTGGAGTCACTGAGCTCCTGAGAGCGACCCATTCTTTCACCAATGTTTGTAGAAGCAGTCTGCATGCCTAGGGGATGATTGTATACACCTGTGTCCATGGAGGGGATTGGAACACCTGAATCACATGATTTGGAGGGCGGGGCCAATAATTTTGGCAATATAGTGTATATCGTAGATTCACATCAATCCCTTACCCTCAAGCAGCTTACAATCTGAGGTCCTCAACTCACACTCATACATACACATACTAGGCAGTGATGTATTTAGTTCAGGTACTGCCCTAGGCAACACTAAAATTTGCCCCCCCCCCCCCCCCCCCCCCCACATACACATCACCCCTGCGACCACCCGATGCACTAACCTTAACCTCCAGAATGAAAGAAGCATCCGGCCATCCCCACAGCCTCCATGGATGTCATGGTAGAGCTGACCGTGTCCCTTCTTCCAGGGGGCAGCACCACCCCCCAGGGCAAACAGCTTGTATGCCCTGCAGTAAATACACCGCTGACACTGGGGCCAAATAACCTGACAGCATCTCTTTAGAGTGTGAGAAGAAATCAAAGTAAACCCACGCAGGCACAGGGAGAACATGCAAACTCCAGGTAGGTAGCTCCATGGTTGGGATTCAAACAGACAACCTTAGTGCTGCTAGGCAGAAGTGCTAACCACTTAGCCACTGTGCTGCCCATATGCATTTTTTAGTAGGCGGATTCATACGACCACAGAGATACAATGGATTCCCGTGTACGGTGTTTACATACGGTGCACACTGTATAGGTAAAATGCTTCTTCCTGCTTGCAGCAGACTGATGACCTCACCTCTCAGCCTAGGCACAGTCACTGGATTAGAGATGAAGAATGACGTTTGGATGATAAAAGGTGAACTTTTTATGGAAAATGATCCTGTTGTTGTAGATTGTAACAAGTCAGGAATGTATTAATACTGACTGTAAGACAGCTAAGGCTTGGTTCATGCTGCTGTGACTGTGAAAGTCGTGCGACTTCGTATTGCAATTTGATGCAACTTTAATTCGACTTTCATGCGAATGTGATGTTATGCAACTTTGACTTTGGTTAAAAACCCTCTGAAGTTGGATACTGTCACATCAAAGACACATAGACTAAGACAATTCTTAATTCATTTTAACATTTCAGTCTATAGCACATAGACTTCACCTCCGCAACATCTCCAAGATACGGCCGTTCCTAACCCCGGAAACCACTAAGCAACTTATTCACTCCCTGGTTATCTCTCTCGCCTTGACTATTGTAACTCCCTCCTCATTGGCCGACCTCATCGCAGGCTATCCCCTCTTCAGCCTATCATGAATGCTGCTGCCAGATTCATCCACCTTACTAACCGTTCTGTATCTGCCACCCCTCTCTGCCAATCCCTCCACTGACCTCCACTCAGTGTCCTCCACCCCTCTCTGCCAATCCCTCCACTGGCCTGCGCTCAGTGTCCTCCATCCCTCTCTGCCAATCCCTCCACTGGCCTCCGCTCAGTGTCCTCCACCCCTCTCTGCCAATCCCTCCACTGGCCTCCAATCAGTGTCCTCCACCCCTCTGCCAATCCCTCCACTGGCCTCCGCTCAGTGTCCTCCACCCCTCTCTGCCAATCCCTGCACTGGCCTCCGCTCAGGGTCCTCCACCCCTCTCTGCCAATCCCTGCACTGGCCTCCGCTCAGTGTCCTCCACCCCTCTCTGCCAATCCCTGCACTGGCCTCCGCTCAGGGTCCTCCACCCCTCTCTGCCAATCCCTGCACTGGCCTCCGCTCAGTGTCCTCCACCCCTCTCTGCCAATCCCTGCACTGGCCTCCGCTCAGGGTCCTCCACCCCTCTCTGCCAATCCCTGCACTGGCCTCCGCTCAGTGTCCTCCACCCCTCTCTGCCAATCCCTCCACTGGCCTGCGCTCAGTGTCCTCCACCCCTCTCTGCCAATCCCTCCACTGTCCTCCACTCAGTGTCCTCCACTCCTCTCTGCCAATCCCTCCACTGGCCTCCATTCAGTGTCCTCCACCCCTCTCTGCCAATCCCTCCATTGGCTTCCCATTGCCCAATGGATAAAATTCAAAACATTAACAATAACGTATAAAGCCATTTATAACTCCGCCCCAAATTACATCACCGATCTTGTCTCCAAATATCACCCAAACCGTCCTCTCCACTCCTCGCAAGACCTCCTGCTCTCTAGCTCCCTTGTCTCCTCCTCCCATTTTTTTTTTTTACCACTACTATTCTTTTATATTGGCTTGTGAGTTTACAAATGCAACAATTTAGAAACTGGATGAGAGGTTTAGCGCTGGAAAACACTTTTTGAAAGATAGAAAATTAATTTTATATACAACTGTATATATCAGACCAAAATGAGGGACAAAAGAGGAGGAAGGAGGGACAGAGGGACTTTGTTCCAAATCAGAGACAGTCCCTCGAAATCAGGGACAGTTGGGAGGTAAGGGAGCCTAACTCTGGTGACATCACTGCACTTGTAGTCTAATGGTTCTTCCGCCTGCCCCGTAATATTAGGTGCGTACCTCTGTACAGATCCGGAGCCAGGGAAAGAGCCTGCAGGAGCCTGCACCTTACACCCAGGGTGCACTAATCACAGTTGCAATGCTCTCCAGGCCTCAATGGAAAATTTAAGTAAATTTGCACTTTTTTCTCAAAATGGGTGACTTTAATATTTTTGTTTAAAGGTGGAAAGCAAACCAACCATCTACAACTCTCCAGACCGGATGGATCCAAGTATGCTTTGTTCTCTATCTATACATACATTATTATTATACAGGATTTATATCACGCCAACAGTATGCGCACTGCTTTACAAAATGAAGGTAGACATTACAGTTACAATACAATTTGGTACAAGATGAAACAGAGGGCCCTGATCCTGA